AAGGAAGTTGCCTCCGCCCATCCCCCTGCCCATAAGCAACCAGAGGTGACACAGGCTGAGATGATAATAACTGAAGTAGGGAAGCAACCTGACATTTGTGTTGTCTGATTGACTTTTGCAGTCTGAGCACCTATTTAGAGGATAACAATATGCAATATAGTAACGATTATGGATTTCCTACTGTCCTATCACTGTTTTGCTTTGTTTCATTTTACTGTTCTGTTCCCTATAAAAAATAAAATAAGACAAAATAAAAAATAAAAAAATAAAATTCCACTGGTGTTCCCAGTTCAGTGGTGGTGTCCAAAGCAGATTCCAAATGTGTGCTGAGTAACCCCACCACCTCTGTAGTAGAACTACTTTTGCTTGCAGGTCTGTCTTGGCCTCTGGTGATGGAGGCTGATGCCAGAGGATTCTGCCAGCAACATTCTGCATGTCCCTCAATAGCCAGCCCCCATGTCCTACCCTGCTTGTCCCTGCATTGCTCTCCCAGCTGCTGTGGTGCCCTCAGTCAGAGAAAGACCGAGGCTGCTTCCAGCCCCATGCACACGTGGCCCTTTCAGGCCCGTACAGCCTCCTCCATTCCACTCTACTGCAAGTCTCTCTCCTCTCTCATGACACTGGGAGCAAGGCAGTGCGAAAGATGCTAGCCAGATCATCGCCTTTGCTGCTACTCACTGCCTCTCCTTGTCCAAGGCTGCTAGGTCCAACTTCTCTCTCACATGCAGCTGAAAGCAGTACAATGGAAGAGTTGAGTCTCACTCGTTGCTCCTCTGTGACCTACGGCTGCCTAACTCCTGGGCCCCTTTCCTCTCTTGCCACTGGGAGCAAGGTAGGAGGAGGGATGCTGTCCACGCTCTACCTTCACCAGCACCTTTGTGTTCCCTAACCTTGTCGCTACAGATTCAAGTTGGCTGCTATGACAAAAGACCAAAAAAAGGGGCCGGGGGGCGGAGGAAGTTAGTAACCTGTTGAGGAGAGAGCAGCTTCTTAATCACTTAGCACAGTGTTTGCTGTTGAAATGTGGTATCAGGTTGCAACCTCCTCTGTTTAGTGAAGGAGAAAGAGCTGATGGCTTACTGCTAAATCTCTCTTGTGTAGCTTGAGTTTGCCATGCTATTGAATCCATCAGCTTTTTGGGAACTTCCTAGACTGGCACTTCCTACTCCAGACACAGGCTAAGATATGGCAGGCAGCATTGAGGGACCACTTTAAAAAGTCCTGTGCCTGTTTTGTTTAACCTACAAGCTTCATTTCAGATGGATGGTGGCATCAGAGTGTACATTCCTTCCTTTCTTCCAATTATCTGTGTTTTTAGTTGATGTTATGTAATTCCAATGTGGCATCCTCTCTATTTAACTGTCTACTCTAAAATCTACAAGATTCTTCGAATGAAGGATTTTTGTGTGAAAGTTTGATATATTTTTGTGTCTTCATATTTCTTTTATTTTTAATCAATGTTCCCAGGTTGGGGGAAGGGATGAGAATATATCTCAATATGAAGTTACTGAATTCAATCTTTTCCTTTGAGAAAGAGACGGACAGACAGACAGACCAATGGACAGAAACTCAGAGAGTGACATATTTGAGTCCTGAGTGGAATGTGTACTGGGCCACCAGAGCAGCAGAACTTCTCTTTATGCAGAGCAGGAACCTGACAGGTGGAGGAGTAGGCACAGATGATAAGGGTAGAATGGAGATCTGTATAGGACCCACCCACTTTGCACTGACACCAGGCCTTTCTCAGAACCTGCACCCTCATCTCTAGCCCTCTGTGCAAATCTCTATATTGGCCCTTGTCTTTGCTGTGACCTGCTGACATCTCATTAGCCGTCTCCATCAGACTGCCTCCTGCCTTCCATTCTGATCCAGATCTCCCTCAGAGTTGGATATTGAAAGAAAAAGATGGGGAATAGTAGGGATTTGCATGACAGGGTGCCACGCTTCACTGGAGACCTCATGGGGGTTCCAAGACAGTCATGGAAATGGATTGGCAGAATGTGGTCAAGTTTGACCCATCCATGACAACTACAGTAGGCTCACCAGGGAGTTGGGGAAATCCTGACTAATGATAGTTCTGTTGCACACTGCGCTTAAGAGGAATGGCTCTATATTGCCTCTTCAGAGTCCAGCCAGCTATAGAAAGGGGGTCAGCGAGTTTCAACACTAGGTAGATTGAGTTAGGACCATGGCGTTGACCTCCTGTTGAAACATCAGCTGACTCACAGACCCCAAGTATACAGGACACAAAGGTCCCTAGTTCCTGCTCACTCCCTTCCCACTTGGTCTCTGCCTAGGGAGAAGACTGAAGGTTTTGTACTGCCCAGAGCAGTGGTGCTTGGGATAATCTATACTTGCTTGGTATGTCACACACTTGCCTATCTCCCCATAGTTCTTCTGACAGTTTCTTCAGTGATCCTGAGCTAGTCCTGCAGGGATGCTAAAACAGCTCTAGCTCTGCTGCATACTACAAGATTCCTAGTGAGTCCTCAATTCCTACTGGTGCTTTGGAGCTGAGACTCTCCTTGGAGAGGCCAAGGCTGGGTTCCAGAGCCTACTTCTTGTACTTCTGTAGAGCAACAAGCAGCTCCAGTGGTATCAGGTCCACATCTGGGTTTCCTGTGGTCAGCAGCCAGGAGAACTCTGGCTTCTCTGGGTCCAGACCCAAGTAGGACCTGGACTGGAATCAGCCCAAATCATATGCTGGAGCAAGTGGGGAGGAAGTGGCTTGAACAAAGGAATACCAGCAGTGTGTGGTGGTAGGATGAAAGAGCGGACCATACAATATCAGGAAAACTTGGTTAAGGACAGCAGGGCCAACCAGGGCTGCAGGCAGCAACCGGGGGGCCATGAACCACTCCAGTCCTGGCAGACACAGGCCAAGCTCCTAAGGTGAACCTGTGGGTTTGCATCAATCCTGGGCAGGCTGCTACACCTAAAGATCTCTGACACATGCCCTATGCCCTCTCTTCTGCCTGTTTAACACATTGCTACAAAGAAGGCCATGCATGAGAAGATTTTTCCTTTGAGACAAATGTCTGTACCTCCGATCTTTGACCCCAGAGGCTCACATTTCCCTCCAGACCATGTCTTGCCTTCCTAAGAATGGGTTTCAGGAGGCAGCCCTAGAGCAGCAAAGATCATCTCAGCAGCCCTCTGTGGCCCCTACCTTCTGGAAATCCTCATTTTCACATCCCACAGCCACATGTACCCACATGTCCAGGACCCACATGGGGCTCCATATTACATCTCCAGTGACAGAGAGCTAGCAAAGCAATGCAACTGGCAACCAACAGCTGAAGCAGGCTCCAGATGGAAGACTGAAAAAGCTGATAGAACAACAGCTCAGAAGAATGGAAGAGAAAGGTGATCTGCAGCTCAGTGTCTGTGGGCACAGACTTGGAGTACAGCCCACAAACCTGAGCTCCCCTCAAAACAGCTTGAACCAGTAGGAATTTGGGTCCATTTCACCCAAAACTCTGCCCACTGTGCATCTCACCTACCACACTAACTGGCTACACTGACTGATGTCCCCAGTCTGAGCCCTCTCTGTGCTGGGAGGCAGGGTCATTCTAGGGCTGCTGACCTAGAAGCCCAAATGGTAGAAATTCAGGCCGTAGGCAATGGAAAAGGAGAACTAGGGAGTCTTGTGACAGTGGCAACAGGAAACCCTTGGCTAACCACCAACTCATGCCTCCAGCCATATCGGAAGGAAACATAGAGTCCTGTTGGAGCCCAGAGAGTTTGATCCTGAGGGGCCCAGCAGGAGGAAGGCATGATGGGAAGCTGTCTTGCCTAGGCCAGGATAAGTAACTAGATTGGCTGCTCAGAGCAAATCTTGAGTGCCAGGTAGCAGGGTGAAATTTATATTCCCTTGAAAACCTAATGGGAATGGGGTCAACTACCCCTGAGCACCCCTCTTCATCTGGAATCTCTCTGGGTCAGGCACACTCTACACCCATTATTAGAGGAAACAGCTGGCACCAAGCTGGTCTCTCACTGAATTCTGACCGACTTCTGACACCTCCTGTTGTGCCTGGATAATGAGATCTTTCTGTTGCCTAGGTGGTGGCATGAGATGGGGACTGTCATTGCTTGGAAATATCTGTGACGCCTCCCAGCCAGGTTAACAATGCCTTTGTGTGTCATGGGGTGGGAATCCTGGGGTTTTTAAAATGGATTCCATTAGGTGCTGTCTCTAAACAAGAGAACATGCAGCAGGAATTTCTGAGCGTTGTGATCACCTAGACAGGCTGCCACCACGGCCACTGTGAGTCCTCTCCTGGCAGCCTGGGTTCCTGACATCTTCTTCCCTCACATCCTCTGACACTGCCCTGGCTTCAGAATGTGCCCTATGTCGTCTAGATGTCACTGTGGTTCAGGAAGCTCTCTGAATAGCATCAAGGTGGACATGGCTTCACACCAGTGTGGATAGCAAGCAGGTTTAGCAGATCATCAAGGTCCATCCCTGCTTACCCTCTCTGCATGGAATACCCAACCACCATGCATCTTCCTATCTGGCCACCATTTCCTAGCATCCAGAGAGGGCTGGTGCGCTGGCAGTGGCTTCTCCTTCTGACTCCTCCAAGCCTTTCTACCCGTCAGTCCGGATGAAGCCACTAATATGGGACCCATTGCAGGTGGCCATGTGCTGCCATCAGCTATCAGCCCATCAATGCCTCTATTGGACTGGGCACCTCTCTGTGGCAGAGGTAAAGGCTGCTCTGAAGGTGCTGCCAAGCATGAGACTAGGAATGACCCGCTAAAGCAAGAGTGAATGTGGCATCCTTCTGGTCATGATGGTCTCAGGGCAGACATGGAAATGATGGTGACAGAGGAGCACAGTCCTTTGTGTGCTGTTCCTTCTCTCTGCACCCTAACATCAGGCTCAGTCCCAGAAGAAGCAGATTCTGGGAATGATGCTCCCAGAGATGAACATCACTTTCCCTCCCCTTAGGAGCACACACTTCCCCAAAGGCCAAGAAGCTCACACTTGGAGGTCTGTTCCATGCTTTTATTTAGCAAAAAAGGAGCTCCACAATCAGGTGGCTTTTGTAGTGATTAGATATGCAGCAAGCACTGGAAGATGGATCTTCCCACTCTCTCACTGGCATGTCTGGTGGGGTAGCCAGGTGGCACCTTGAATAGAAGTTACTGGAAGAATAGGAGGTAGAGTACTGGTGAAACCTGAGAAGGCACAACAGAGTATTCACACCTGGGCTTCAGGGTAGGGAATGGAGGAAGAATAAAGGCAGCACTGAGATCCCCAACCCTCCTAACCCTGTCCTCCCACCAGCCTCCTGCCCAGCCATACTCACTGCCCCTTCAGCCATCGATGCACTTTTCGGGGGGGGGGGAGACAACACCAAAGCAGTCACGGATATGTGTGTGTGTGTGTGTGTGTGTGTGTGTGTGTGTGTGTGTGTGAGTAATGTCTGGCTTCCAGAACCCCAACACTGCCCTTGATAGTTTCAGGCCCAATGTGGCCCATCTTCAGGGGTTATGGGTGTTTCCTGAACTCAGGACCTGGAGACAGACATCCCGAAGGGTCTAGGCTTCATCACTGCTCAAAACCAAGATCTCTGATGTTTTCCTTGAAATTACAGCAACTCCTCAACCAGGGAAAAAATTGGCCTAGGTGCAGACCTCTGCCCAGGCCAGGCAACTTAAAAGTAAGGACTTCTCCTGTCAGTAATGAACAGACCTCAAATAAAGGGGAAGATGGTCCAGTACAGAAAGATACAACGTACAGAAAGGAGGTGACCCAGGGCACTGAACCAGGCAAAACCTGGAATGAGGCTGGAACTGTCATTCAGACAGGCTATGGTTTACTGTCAGGAAGACAACACGGGACCAGAGTTTCTGGGGACCCAAGAAGGCCTGTCCAGGAGCCACTTGATCTCGCTTGGCTGGAGCAGAGGACTAAGTCTCTCCTGGGCCCTTCCCCAAATGAGGCAGCATCAGGCCCAGACAGACACCACTTCCCCTGCCCCTCACTAAAGCCGCTCATTACCGATGGGCTCAAAGTAGACAGTGTTCTCATCATCGAGGCCCAGGGACCTGGCAAATTTGATGAAGTGTTCCTGCAGTTCAGAGCTCAGTTCCTGGGTCCTCCCTGCATCCATGGTGGTCGGTAACGGACCAAAAGAGAAGACATGCCATCATCTTTTTTTTTCATATTTTTGGAGACAGGGTCTTGCTCTGTACTTCAGGATGATTTTAAACTTACAAGCCTCCCCTGTCAGCCTCCTCCCTCACTCTCCCATGTGCTGGGTGACTGTTAGAAACCCTGCACCAGCTTCTTCCAAAAATTTCTGTTGAATGAGGGAAGGAAGCCCAGGCCCCTTTCCCAGTGAGAGTCTGTGGAAAGATCTCTTTCCTGAGGGAATCCTGAGGTGGAGAATTGCCTGTGTCTTGGAGATTGGGGTTTTCTCCCTGTGACCAAGGCCCAGATCCCTGAGGGATGGAGTGAGGACCCACCGTTGAGTTTGACCTGGAAGTATATCCTGTGTTTGAACTTGTACTCAATGTACAGCATGGCAAACTGCTTGTAGTCGGTGGCTGTCACTCTCCATAGGTAGCTTTCTGTGTCAGAATCTGCCGTACAGATAACAATGGTCACCTCAGGTTCAGTAACAAGGTATTGCCCCCTTCTTTCCTAACCTGCCAGCAGAGGTTTTTCCCAATGAGACAGCATCTATGTGGACAGCAAGGGAGGCCTTTGCCTTTCTTGGAGAAACCCTAACACCAGGTGCTGCTCCCTTGGGACTCACTTGTCATATTAAGCCGGGTGAATTGGCCAGGCTGGATATAGGGGACAAGTGTGCTGGTCCATTGTGCACATTTCTGGCCACTATGAGAGAGAGAGAGAGAGATGGTGCCTTGGACAGGAGATCACAAAGACTTGCCGGACAAACTCAGTTTGTGGCTACTGCATGGTTTAGAGGCTTCCACTCAACTCAATCTAGGACAACCTGCTCCCCACCATGATAAGTGCCCCTCCTGGCCTGCTTTGTAGCCTTGTACCTTGTTCTGTGAGCCTCTGCCTGGTCTCAGTGAGGGTGACTCTGTGTTCCCCCAGCACTTATGGGTACTGCTTCCTTCCCAGGGCATCCTGTCCTACACACAGACCTCAGGCACTGAATGATGCTGCTGTCTCCCTTTCTTGTCTCTCCTGGAAATTCGAGTTTTCAGTCTGCTCCATGCCAAGCAGTGGCTTAAACCTTGGGCTGTACCTGAACTTTGCCCTCCTGAGTCCACTACCACCTCTGGACCTCAGAGTAAGGCCCCTCAAGCTGGCCCTCCTTCTACCCCTTCTACCCTTCTACCCCTAAGATCCTCAGATTCTCCACCTCCTATCTGCCCAGTAACCAGAAACACAATGCACTGCAGAGAGCTGAGCCCAGACTCTCCTCTCCAAATCCTCATCTTCCCCACCTCTGTCATTACCTATCCAACCCCACCCCCAGGGGATGCAGGGTCTTACCTTTGTAGCTTTCATTACTTCCCAGCTGCAATGGAACCCAGATACTGAGACCTTCTTAGGGTGAGATGTCCCAGAGACTAGCCTGGGACAGCTCCTTTGCTGGCTGCTCATGAGCCCTGGCTCAGGTGATCACACTGATTTCTGGCTCTTTCACCGTCTCCTAAGGTAAGGCTCTCTGATTCAGGGACCAGCAGACCCTTTTGTGGTACATTTTACTGCTTTTTTGTGTGGTGGCAATGGTGGTGGTGGTATGGTAATTTTGGAAACCGAACACAGACCATTGCGCGAAGCTATATTCCTGGCCTGTTTTTACTTTTATTCTGAAACAAGTTCTGGCTAATTTGCCCAGGTTGGCTTCCAACTTGCAATCCTCCTGATTTAGCCTCTGGAGCTAAGTCTACAAGGATTACAGCACAGTTCAAGCTGGCTCCTTTAAAATCACTTTCTTAGCTGGGCACAGTGGCACATGCCTGTAATCCCAGCACTTGGGAGGCTGAGGCAGGGGGATCATTGCCAGTTCGAGACCAGCCTGGGCTACCAAGTGAGCTCAAGGCCAGCCTGAACTGCACAGTGAGACCTGTCTCAAAAAGCTAAGAAAAAGTCACTTTCCTACAAGCCCCAGATGGAGGTTTTCGTGAAGTCCCAAGATCCACGTCCCTTCTCTCCCTCTGAGAAGCCCTACTGTCTATTCAGTTCTTCACTGATTCTTAAGTGTCTGCATGGGAGCCACCTATGACTGTCAACAGAAGAAAGAGAAGAAAAAAGAAGAAAATGAAGGAGGAACTTAAGATAAGCAAAATGGAAGAAGAAAGAGGGGAACGAGGGAGGGAAGGAGACTGTGTCACATCAGAGCAGTGAGACGAATGACAGTCTTCCTCAGCTTCGGTCACCCATTGCTGCAACACTGTGCTGCTTCTCAAGCGACCAGGAGGTGGCTGCTTCACCTGAGTCCAGTGGTGCTGACATTGTAGCTGTGGTCATCATTCAGCTCAAAGTTGACTCTGGTCATGTAATATTTAGAGTTGTTTCCTTTTCCTTTCATCACTGCATTCGTGGCTGCACCTATGGTGAACCAGTCTCCCTGAAACTGCAAAGGGCTGATGACAAGCAGAGTCCAAGGGTGACAAGAGGGCATGCTGTCCCTGCTGGTACCTCTGGACAGCCTTCTGGGCAGCAGGACTCAGGGATGGGCATGTTCTGAAAATCAGGCAGGAGTTGGGTATCGGGGGATCAAGAAGGCTCCTGGGTGAGGAGTTATCTATGGGCTTTTAGAGATAGGGTGGCCCTGGGAAACAGGCTAATGGGTGATCCAGAGACTTCATTTTCTCAATTTTGGGGGAGGAGGTAAATATGACCCACCTGGCATGCAAGGATCTGAACATCCAGAGTTGCTTCACCCAACCAACCTCGTCACTGAAGCCTTTTCTCTGTTCTTCCCCTCATTCCCTTTCCCCTGGGGCCTCCCTCCAGCTGCACACACACAGAGACCTCACCCGGTCATCCTGGAAGTCTGGCTGCAGGGGAATCTTGCTCAGAGGTGGTGCTGGGATCCGGGTTGGAGGGATATCCTGGGCTTGAGAGTGCAGGGCCTCCAGAACAATGAGGCTCAAACACAGGAGACTCAGGACCATGGTTTCAGGACCGCTGCTGTGCTGTCAGCTATCGGAGGAGGAAGATGTCTTCATTGTCCAACCCACAGGAACTATTTATGGACCAGATGGTGTCACGCCCTCTTGGGGGCTGATCCATCCTTTGCTAAATCAAGGACGGGTGAGCAAATTATCACCTAAACCATCAGAAGCACATGGCCACTTGTCTGTTCTTTTTTACGCCTGATCACGATTGTGCAAGTTTGAGAGCAGGGAAGGCAACAGGAGACATGAACATTGTCAGAGCTTCATAGTCTTGAGAGACAGGGACTCCCTCTGGCTCACTCAGTCCCTTTGCTTTATCTGACTGGCTCTGCCTGTGGGTCTCAGCTGGGTCTGGACAAGCTATCATCTCAGAGCCTGTGAGCCCAGAGATGGGGGTATGTTTGGTGCAGCTATTTCCATGTTCTGGCAGAAAGCAGAGAATGCCCACGGCACAGTAGTGCATGCCTGTAATTCCACCCAAGGCAGGTGGATCTCTGGCAGTCCAACGTCTGCCTGGGTTACATAGTAATTTCAGATTTAATCACATAACAAGAATTTGTACAAAACCACAAAATGCATGGAGGGTGTTTTAAAGGACAAGGAAAGACTGGATAGAAAATCTAGACAAGAAATGACAGCTTTCTGCATTGAGCTCTTAAACATAGATCGAAGGGGCATGAACCTCAGTCCAGGCCCTGAAATAGGCTGAGATGCCTTGAGCCCATTTCCTCCAGCACACCCTGTGACAATTAGCAGGAACATACAGCAAAGCACAGGGTCCTTAGGACCTTGTAATCTTCTCGGAGCTTAGCAAGTTAAGACCCAGAGCTACATTTATGGACCATTGATGTGGCCTTTTGACAGACTTGAGTCCTGAAGTTTCGGTCACAGTTCATCTCACAGCCTTGTCAGGAGACCATGTAGGGTAACCACCTAAGTCTCAGCTGAGTCTGAACAAGCTGTCATCTCTGAGCTGAGGGAGGGGGTGTTTGACAGAGAACCCTCCATGTTCTGGCAGAAAACATAGGGTGCCCTGGGCATGGTGGTGCATGCCTGCAATTCTACCTGAGGCAGGTGAATCACTGGCAGTTTGAGGCCAGTCTGGACTACAGAGTGAGCTCAATGCCAGACTGAACTATGTAGGAAGGATATACCCCAAAACACAAAATGCATGCAGTTTCCTGGGATTCCTAAACATCAATGAAAGGTAGGGAACAGACAATGGAAATTCAGGAGAGTAAAAATCAATTTTTGCTTTAGACTCTCTGAGTCTAGATCCTGGCTCTCACAGGAGCCTGAGGCCAGACCCTGGAATAGGTTGAGAAGCAATGAGTGCTTTTACTGCAGCACACACTGTGACACTTCATAGGAGTAGACAACAAAGCACTCTTACAGCCTTGTCCTCTTCTGTGGCCCCAGCAAGCTGAGACTCAGAGCTATGTACATGGGCCACTGATGCAGCCTCTTGACAGGTCTGTGTCCTAAAGTTGTAGTCGCAGCTCACCTTGGAGCCCTGGCAGGAGACCAAGCAGGCAGGCACCTGCCAAGGGCAAGGTGGGCTGTACTCTGCTGTTATGTGCAGTGGTTACTTTGGGTAAGAGGGGTCCCAGATTTGGTCTTGTCTTTGATAGGTCAATCAGGTCAACCTACTGTCTTTGGCCACATCCTTTGGTAGTGAATCCCAGAGGTTCATGCCTAGGGTCTCAAAAGTGTTCCCAAGATTGTTGATCCTGGACTTGTTCCTGAGGGAGTATGCTTGTTCATGTGGGGAGGAAGAGTGTCAGGACTTGTAACAGATTTGCACTGCAGCGTTGCCATGTCCCAAACCAGGCCTGGTGGGGTGAAGCCAAGGCAACTGTGGTCATAGCTGGGGAAGAACCAGGCCAAGCTCTTGTCCATCCCTGCCAACTGGACCTGAGACCTGCAGGTGTGGGGAAGGTACTGGAAAAGTGGTCTTTTGAAAAAAATTTGGCAGAGTGAAGTGAACCTCTGATACCAGTCCTAATGTCACCAACTGGCATAACCCTGGATGTCAACAGTTGACATAACCCTGGATGTCAACAGCTGACACAGCAAGGGTCCGGTCACTGTCATTGCTGGCCTTCACTTCCCAGTCACTGCCATCTAATGCAAGCTTATACTGGACACTCTCAGTTGGCTCTTCTAGCTGCTGGTCTCTGATTTTACCTTATTGCCAGTCTGTCCCAGGAACCAGAGGTGAACTGTACCTGGTCTCTTAACTCTTCTGTTTAAAGTTCTTAATGTGGGGCTGGGGATTTAGCTCAGGAGCATAAGTGCCTGCCTTGCAAGCAGGCAGTCGTGAGTTCAATCCCTGGTACCGATAAAAATGAAAAAGACAAAAAATAAAAAATAAAGTTCTTAATGTTCATTTCTTTTCTTTTGCTATTTGCACTACTCAGAATCCCAAGTACATTTAAGGACTTTTGGAGTTCACACTATCTTGGAAATAAAACCCAAGCAGGTTGACAGAGTTGTCGAAGCCAGTCTATGTGAACAGGCCCTGTGCCGAAGCACTTAGGGCAGTACTGGAAAGAGTGCTCCTAGTCTAACCTTAGCAGCCCTGAGGGGAGCTGCCTCCATAGCAGCTGCAGGCCTCTGCCTGGGAGGCGTAGGACAAGAAAGAGATAAACCTCTAGAAAGCCACCAGTACAGAGTGGAGATATTAAGAATGGACCCAGATTGTTCCTTCCCTGATTTTAACCTCGCCACAATGCTCCCTCCCTTGAAAAAGCACCAGCAGCCTCTGAGGTGGCAGGAGCAGAGGACAAGCACTGTGTTGCCAGTTTGGCTTCACTCATGGTTGGATGGAGGAGATGGTAAAATGTCAGGTTAGATACTACAATAAGTTGTCCCGGTCCATTGGGAGCCTAGAGGAAGCAAGGGGAAGTAAGGATAGGAGCACAGTGGTCACAAGCCAAGCCACCTACTCCTAACCTGGCCAGAATGGGAAAAATAGGAGAATGAGTCACTTCTGGGATTTTCTGCCTCTTGTCTACTTCTTTTACATCCCAAGGTTCCTACTTCTGGTTTTGGAATTTTCTGCCTTTAGCCAAGTTGTTTCAGAGGTCTTACATCTTTATATGAATCTCTGCTTCTGTAGTTTGAGGCAAAAGGATCTCCAGCTGCCATACAGGTCTAGGTAAATTTCAAAATGTAGACTCCTGGGGCTGCAGGAACAGTTGTTGCAGATTAAGTAGGGTTGGAATGGGAGGTTCCTATGGGAAATACTTCTGACATAATCTCATCATTGTTTTCGGACTTGGGGAAGTTGCTTGTTTTTTTCTTGAGACAGGGTCTCACTATGTAGTTCAGTATGGCCTTGAACTCACTGTGTAACCCTGGATGGTATCAAGCTCACAGAACTTGTACTGCCTCAGCTTCCTGGGGACTGGGATTGCAGTCATGTGACACCATGTCTAGTTTCAACAGTGTTTATAAAAGCACTTTTACTGACACTGGGAAAGCAAATGCCATTAACTGCGTAAGGCAGCTATGCAATGAAATGCCAACTTTTATCTCTTTGTCAAAAAAGTACCAGATTTCCTTCTAATCATCTCCTCAGAAACATGTCCTGTGCCTCTTTTTTGCATCATCTCTTATGATGAGACAACCTGGTCTGTGTATTCTTCTCAGGCTCCTATCCAGCCACCTTTGCCCTATCAGTACGGGTCACATGGAAGACCAAGAAAGAGCTGCCACCCAGGACCCAACCAAGCTCCTCCCCCCAGCTCTGCCACAGCATAGAGTTGACAGTGCTGTCACTGTGGTTTTCAAGGTGATTGTTGTAGTCATGGATTGCAAGGGAAACAATTTAACACAGGACAGATAATTTGTAGAACCTTTTTATAATAGTCATACACAAAAGAAAAGAAATGAACATTAAGAACTTTATTTTTTATTTTTTGTCTTTTTCATTTTTATCGGTACCAGGGATTGAACTCACGACTGCCTGCTTGCAAGGCAGGCACTTATTGTCCATACAATAAAGACAGCAAAGAATCCAGGTAAGGGCCGGAATTTCACGACAGTGTCTCAGTTAAGTCTGTTTTATGGATCTGCACTAGAAAGGTCCAAGGGTAAGTAGCAGAAGCTACAAAGTCTGTGCCAGCAGGGTGAAGGAGCTGTGCCAGAGGCTGAGGGCTCTGCACTAGAGCCAGGAAACATCGCTCGAAGTAAGGACCAGAGTTCCCCTGCAAAACACCACCAGCCATTCTCAATGACAAGTCCAGAGCTCCTCTGATGATGAGAACGTTCAAGTTCATCTCAGAAAAGAAGCTCAACAAGCTCCTCCAGCAGAATCAACAACACCAGGAGAAGCAGCTACACCACACTGGCCTCTTCAGTTCTTTTTATGTTGGCAACAGTCCTCAGTGGGCCTTCCACATCCAGCACCACACTGATTCAGTTCGAATTGCCCACCAGTTGTCAATCCACCCCAGGGCTCACCAATCTGGGTTCACTTTCATGACACCACCAGAATGGGACTCCCTATAAATGAAGAGATCTAAGGATCCATTTTTATGTATTTCAGTGAAAAGTGCTTAAGAGTTCTTATTAGGCAGTTTGTGTTAGCTTTACATAATGTGTGATTTTTACTTCAGAGGAAATCTTGATTTGATTTTTTTCTTCTTCTTTTATATTTTATTGTCTTAACAGGGTGTTGTTAAGTTGGGTTTGAATTTGTGAATCTCCTGCCTCAGCCTTCCGGAGTGGAGTGATAACAGATATGAGTCACAAAATCCAATTAACATGAGCTTCTTGATCTTCAGAAAAATGCTAACATTTCAGCTTGGATTGGGTTGAATCTATATATCAAATTTAAAAGAACTGAATTTTTTCATCTAAGTTCTATAAAATTCAGCATGCCAAGTGATTTTTTCCTTGTTTTTGTTTCCTTTTTTAGTAACATTGTGAATGAGGTCATGCCTCTTGATTTCAAATTCCCATTGATCATTTTTGTATATAGAATTGTGTAAGGCTTTATATTTTGCTTTTACTAGAACACCTGGTAGAGTGGCTCAAAGAGCTTTTA